TGTTGAATTGGACCCAGAAGCAAACTGTCACTCAGTGAAGCTCATGCAGCAGAGGTGCTTTATATGCAACCCCACAGCTGCTTATGCCACCCTATTCTGCACCAACTACAGCTTCTGGATAGACTTCAAGAGTAGCCCCTTGTAGAGTGTATTGCAGTACTCCATATGGGCATGTGTGGCAGAAATAGGAATAGGAATAGGAATAGGAATAGGAATAGGAATAGGAATAGAATAGAATAGAATAGAATAGAATAGAATAGAATAGAATAGAACAGAACAGAACAGAACAGAACAGAACAGAATAGAATGGACCTTGGACGTCTTCTAGTCCATCCAAAAGCCCACCCTAAGTTTCCCCCAACTCTGGCCTCTCTGCTTTCCCTGTTATAGATCCTTCCACCTACTCTGATGTTGCAGAAATTCTACTAATGGACTATGGGTAACTGTGAGCCTTTCAGTGTTTCAGCCCTCCTTCTCGGAACTATTGCAGTGATCTTGGAACCCAGTAAAATCTGTCACTACCTCCATTTCTTCCCCATCTATTTGCCAGGAATTGAGAGGGCCGGATTCCATGATCTTAGCTGCCTACATACTAATAAGATTACACCTAAGATTGAGCCTACCAAAGTAATCTTTTGCTTTGGTGTTCCTCAATATACTAGTGAGTACAATTACCTGTGCATTGAATGCTTCACCGATGGAACATTATTCTCACGAAGGTTGCCTGCCACTGAGAACTATTTGAATGCACAAGGAACAACGTGTTAGCTTTCCTTGAGTTAACAGCGAATCTGACTCAAAAACCCCATCTGGACCTAAAGTCAAGCAGTCTTTCTTCTTCTCCTCTCCTCATTTATTCCTCCCAGGTGATAGAAATGCTAGTCAGACATTCAGAGAGGCATTGAAGGTTAGAAACTTTGTTTTGTTCCAATGGAAGATTTCCTCTCCCAGATGAATCTCAGTAGTAATTACATTAGAAAGCTCTCCCTGCTTGTCTTGTTGTAACCGGGACAATATTTTTAAAAGATTTATTATTTCAAAGCTCTTCAATTTCCACCGAAGCAGAGAAACTTTAGAGTCCCATATTGATTAGAAAAGGGGATTGTGTTGCAAGGTAGAGCAAGTCCTAGAGACCTTTCCTTGCCTGCTCTTTGCTGGAAAATTGCATCTAACAGCTGCATCCTCCCACTGCCCAAAACCTTGGTGAATTATATGAATCTAGGCACTATTTCCCATTATTCATCCATATGCAGGTGTTGATAACCCTTACATGGAGGGGAGGGAAGATAGCCTCCCTGCACAAGAAAATGAATTTAGGAAATGTTGGGGGGAAGCCTTGGGGGAAAGGAACTAAAAATTATCAAAAGGAAAAATACTGTATCAATAGCAATAGCTCTTAGACTTCTATACCACTTCACAGTGCTTTTACAGCAGGGGTGAAATCTAAAATTTTTTGCTACCGGTTCTGTGGGCGGGGCTTAATTAGTGGGCGGGGCTTGGTGGTAAAGTGACTGGGAGGGCATGGCTCATTGGTCAGGTGGGCGTGGCCAAGTCAATGACACTTATTTGCGCTTTTTTAACCTACAAAACACAACACAACACAACTGTCTCACCCACAATATAAAAGCAGCTGTGCTAGACCCAAAATGGCCACTGCAAGAAGCAGGAACCTCACACAGCCACAAAAAGCCCAAAAATCCAACTTTCACACTTTACACACACACAACACAACACAACACAACACAACTGCCTTACCCACAATGTAAAAGCAGCTGTGCTAGACCCAGAATGCCCCCTGCAACAAGCAGGAACCTCACACCGCCACAAAAAGCCCAAAAAACCAACTTTTACACTTTACACACACAAAATTCCACATACAGCTTTGTGAGATTTTGTGTGATTGTGTAGTTAGAGTGAAACACTACAGAAACACACTAAATCTCAGAAAGCTGCACAAATATTATTTTATTTTTATTTATTTTTATTTTTATATAAAAGCAGCTAAATTTAAAACTTTCTAAACTTTAAATGGCTAGGTCCAAAAAAAGAACAACTAAAAAAACCCCAATTAACTATTTTTTTAAAGCTCCCAAAGGGGAAAAAAACTTACCCAATTGATCAGGGGTCTCCAACCTTGGCAACTTTAAGACTTGTAGACTTCAACTCCCAGAATTCCTCAGCCAGCTTTGCTTTGCTGGCTGAGGAATTCTGGGAGTTGAAGTCTACAACTCCCTGCCTGCTTGATTGCAGGCAGGAAGATTCAGTTGCTTGCTGATGCAATGGATGCAGGGATTACAGCAAGGCGTTGCGACCAGCAGCTAAGGTAAGCAAGCGGAGGGGGGGGAGAGGGAGGGATTTTTGCTACAGATTAGCAGACAGAGCCATTTAAAAGGAAAAAAGTTTTTTTTTCTTTTACATGGCTCTGGCGATCCAAGCTGAGTTGCCTGATTAGCAGGCAACTCAGCTGGGATCGTCGGAGCTTGGCTGGTCAGAGCCATTTAAAAGAAAAAAAAGCTCTGATGATCGCGCGGCTCAGCTGCGGGGGCGGGGGCAAGGATTTTTGCTACCGGTTCTCTGAACTGCCTGCAACCATCACTACCTACTCGCCCGAGCCGGTCCGAACCGGGAGCATTTCACCCCTGTTTTACAGCCCTCTCTAAGCGGTTTACAGAATCAAAATATTGCCCCCAACAATCTGAGTCCTCATTTTACCAATGTCGGAAGGATGGAAGGTTGAGTCAGTCTTGAGCCTGGTGAGATTCGATATGCCAAAAGCTCTGTTATCAACCATTTAACATTAGCAACATATGTATATATACAAAGATATATATAGCAAAGAAGTGTTCTGTCCCCCCACCTCACATAGGCAGACACACAAGCAAAAGATGTCTATCAGTAATTTATTTTTACAAGCCGACCTGAATCCCTTTGGCAGATAAAAATTCTGCCAGCTACTTTCTGAATTCCTGCCAAGTTTCTTATCACCTCTAGAAACAGGAATCCGCGTATCTGTAGTCCGTTGCTGGGGCAACCAAGAGTTCAAAGAGTAGTCAGAAGTCATTCACAAAGTCCAAGCCTTAATTCCAAACAATATCCCATCCGAAGCTCACGATATGCAGTTTTTGTCCGTCACAGAGCCTGCAGAGCAACCTCACCCACTTTTATCCCCGTGGGGCATGGCTCAGTGACTCAGCAATCTCTGGCCCTTCCCAACCTCTTCCTTTGCTGCGCACGCCTCTCCCTCCGACACTGCCTGGGATCAATCCAAGATTGATCTTCATCACTCCCTATTAGTGGGTGCCCCGACATGCTTTCCTCCTGGCCTTCAGCTGGAACCTGAGGCTTTGCCAGAAAGGAGGGTCCTGGAGAGGGAGGCCTTGTCAGTTCCTCCCCATCACTTTCAGAGTCATCTTCCTCCATGAGGACAGGCTTAGGAGCCAGAGTCACAACAAGAAGTTTCTTACCCACTGTATGAAATATTTCATTCATTTAATTTATTTATTTACGTATGTCTCATATTTCTCATCCCCCTAAAGGATAGTGTCCTGATATTATTAGAAGAAGAAGGGGCTTGCATAAGTTTTCTTATCATTCCTATAAGGTGCAATCCAAAATGTTATAGGATTCTCATGGCACAATAAGATTCCCTAACCTTTCTAGGCACATATAGGTAGTCCCCGACTTACGACTACAATTGGGACCAGAATTTCCATGGCTAAGCAAGGTGGTTGATAAGTGAGCTGCACCCGATTTTATGACCTTTTTGGCAATAGTTGTTAAGTGAATTGCTGCAGTTATTAAGTGAATCACATGGTTGTTGAATGAACATGGCTTCTCCCATTGACTTTGCTTGGTGGAAGCTGGCTGGGAAGGTCACAAATGGCAATCACATCACCTCAGGATGTTGCAACCATCATAAATAAGGAGCCGTGGTGGCGCAGTGGTTAGAATGCAGTACTGCAGGCTACTTCTGCTGACTGCTGGCTGCCAGCAGTTCGGCAGTTCAATTCTGACCGGCTCAAGGTTGACTCAGCCTTCCATCCTTCTGAGGTGGGTAAAATGAGGACCCAGATTGTTGGGGGCAATAAGCTGACTCTATAAACTACTTAGAAAGAGCTGTAAAGCTCTGTGAAGTGGTATATGAGTCTAAGTGCCATTGCTATTGCTATAAATAGATGCTGGTTGCCAAGCACCGGAATTTTGATTATGTGACTGTGGGGATGCTGAAACAGTCATACATGTGAGGACCAGTTGTAAGTCACCTTTTTCTGTGTCATTGTAACTTTGAACAGTCACTAAACAAATACTGCTAAGTAGAGTGCTACCTGTAAGCTACAAAGGAAAGGTATTGCTACTTTAGACACATAATGAGTGATTATTAATTTGAGCATTCATAGACCACCAAGTACGGAAGGTTTTTAAGAAAGACACACAACATCCCAAGAATATAATAAATGGTCAAAAGCCATCAAACATGGGTTTCAATCTAGTATTTCCAGAGATTTCAGAACTCACTGACAGCTACCAGGAATAATTAGCCAAAGATCATCACTAGATAGCTGAAAACAGGATACTTATGCTGATTTTAATAATCATTGAGAACAATATATAAGTAAACATGTTCATAGATAACTTGAACCTAAACTATTAAGGCCCTGATAGGAAATTTCCAGTACTTCGGATTTCATCTTGAACATTGTAATTTAAGGTTGTTTTGGAAATTACCAACTATTGCATCAACTTGTGAATTCTTTTTTTTTTTAAAGCTCTACATGCAAATGTGCATGCAAACTCTTCTAATGAATATATTTGGTATGTACACTAGTTTTCCTGTCTCTGAGGCTGGATGTGTTGCAGATTTGCCATGATTTGCCATGCAGATTTCTATAGATTGGAATGTGTCAGCATTTTGATGGCAGGGCTAAAAATAATACTGTTCCAAGCTAAATAAAAAACAAAAAAAAAAACCCAGTGTCAAGACTTGAACCACTAGCCTGGGCAGAGATACTATCAGCCCTTTATTAAATTGTAAGAGTAGAAGTCCCACCATAAAAAATAGAGAATTGTTGACTCCGGACACATCCATGGTCTCTCCTGCAAAAAATATCTGTTGAAGATCTATGGAAACAGACAATAAATCATTTTGAATCAAAGTTTCAAAGGCTTTATACATCATCGTAAGGTCGTAAGGACATGAAATTTTACCTGGGAAACATCTCATATCTAAAGCTTACTGAAGATATTGGCTACTTCATAGTATAACAGGCTTTTCACCCAAGGAGTGTGAACTATATTTTATTAGAATTTTTTAAGATACATCTGAATGCCAGAAATATATTTTCTGAACTGCACAAGCAATGGTTTGGATTACATAAACCATTATAGATATATAATCTTTTTAGATATTTTCCATGGATACCAGTACTTGATTACATCAATTAGCAAGGATGTCACATTAATTCTGCATTAATAAGGATGTATGGTGGGAAACCAAAGGTTGAGATTATGTGGCCCTGCATCCAAATGACTTCAACTCTTGGGCTAAATGAGGGTCCTGTACCAAGACATCACAAGGCGCTAAATGGGGACATGAATTAAGGATCTCCAGCTGCTCCTTTGCAAACATTGGATGGAATTCAGGACCAATTAAAAGCCCATTAGGAAACACTACATTAGGACCACCCTATGAATATCTTCCACAATAATTTTCTGCAACCAGGACAAAAAGGGCGGATGAGAGATTATTTGTTCTAGCCTTCAGTTTTATACTGCATTCAGTTATTTTCTTTTCTACAACTAGGCAGTTATGTCTCGGGGAGTGCTGTGACAGAGAAAATATGCTTCCGAGATCCCATCAGATGACACTCCTTAATGGACAGAATCTGGAGCACTGGAGTTGAAAGTGCATTTCTTTAAAAAATTATTCAAATTGCGAATTGGAAGGTGACACCGAGTACAACTCAATGGTGGATTGCTCCCGGTTTGCACCGGTTCGGGAGAACCGGTAGTAAAAATTTGTCATCGGTCACAGAACCGGTAGTAATGGCTGGCTGGCCACGCCCCCGAACCAGTTCTGAAGCTGCCAGGTTTGCAGCCCCCCCACCACCCCCGCCACTTGGAGTTTGCCCGGGACACCCTCCAATCCGGAGCACCACCCCCACTTGCTTTCTTCCTTCTGCCGCAGCAGAGCAGCAGTCTCGGCTCCAGCTCGGCCTCTTCCCCTTTGCATCAGCACCGATCAGCTGTTGAGAGCCCAGCCTGCAGATCCAGAGGAGATGGCAGCCGTCCGGCATGTCCCTGTTTCCACCCCTCCCAGGTGATGACAAGCATTTAATACTACTTCTAATATTTATAACATAAAACCCTAATCGTAACAATAAGATTATTCAAAGCCAATGTATTAAGACTTTTGCTGAATGGGACATAATATACTGCAATAGGGAATGAGAGAGGAGGGGAGGGAGGGAGCTGGGGATGAGATGGAAGGATGGATGGAAGGAAGGAGATGGGAATGAGAGGGGAGGGCAGGAAGGAAGGAAGGAAGAATTGCATGTGGCCCCAAAAAACTTTTAGGAAGGAAGGGAGGGAGGGAGGGAGAAAGGATATATTCTAATACATTATTACTAATATGTTTATTAAGAAGATACTGTACATTCAAATATTAAGAACTGGACACCTTTCTTTCTTTTCTTCCTTCCTTCCTTCCTTCCTTTCTCTACTATATTGTTTTGCTTATTTCCCCATTCTTAAAAGAAACCCCTAAATTCTCTAAAATTTATAGTCAAGTTAACGAATCTGAACTAAAGCTTTTGTCATGGAGTACAATCAGTTTTGAACAAGACTTCTAGAGGTCCTTTAGATGTGATTCCTAAAACATGAGAGAGAGAGAGAGAAAAGAAAGAGAGAGAGACAAGAAAGAAAGAAAGAAAGAAAGAAAGAAAGAAAGAAAGAAAGAAAGAAGAAAGAAAGGGAGAGAGGGAAAGAAGGACCATAAACCCTGGCACTAGACGTGGCATCAAAAGACGCTTTGAAACAGGACAGCAATCTAGGGCTGGAAAGGACCTTGGAGGCCATCTAGTCCAACCCCCTGCTCCAGCAGGAAACCTTATATCGTCTGGATTATTTTGGTGCCTCTAATAGAGAGGAAAATTGCCAGAAAGGAGAAGGAGTTTACTATAATAAGGCTCCCATGCAGAGGAAGGCAGAGATAATTCTTGACTTACGACCACAATTGAGCCCAAAATTTTGGTTGCTAAGCAAGAGCGTTCTTAAGTGAGTTTCACCACATTTTACTCAAACCATGACCTCTCCTGGCTCTAACAGTCATGTGCAAGCTAGGGAAGAACACCTGAAGGCGTGAGTAATGTTCTAAATGTACAGAAGTTATAGTGTGGCAGAAAGTGGACTCTGGGTGTGTTTTTCCAAATGTAAGTGAGGTTGAATGTGTATAGTTTTAGAAGAGCTCTATGTGTGTCTGAGTGGGTGTGTACATATACATACAGGATATATAGTAGATAATGTATCTTTTTGTGTGCCTATAGTATGTAACATATGGCATATATACATAGGATTAAATAGTATATTTTGGATGTTCAGTAGTAGTAAATAAATAGACAGGGAAATTGTATCTCATTGAAACCTTTGAGGCGAGGAGAGGCCAGGCACCCAAACCCTAACCCTTGACGTGAGTGGCATCAAGTTGGCCACACCCACCCAGTCACATGACCACCCAGCTACACCCACCCAGTCACATGATCACCAAGCCATGAACACCAAACAAGCCACGCCCACAGAACCGGTAGTAAAAAAATTTGGAACCCACCCCTGGTACAACTCCTTATTCTCAGTGCAGGAATCCAGTCCTCTTTCCAGCCTCTACTTAAAGACATCCAATGAAAGGGAATCCACATTTCTCGGTATAATTGGTTCTGTTCTTGAACTCCTCGTACTGTTAAGAAGTGAAGAAAACAGCAGCCTTTGCAACTGAGAAATACATAATCTCATACGCCTATCTATGTAAACTTGGCATCCAACATCTAAACTCTAAAGGCTGCATGATCAATCCTACCACATATAGGCAAAAAGGAGAAAAGAGAGGTGCTCTGTGAACAAACTGTTGCCATGCACTTCAAGGAGAAAAACTCAGGGAGCAGTTTGTTCTCTGTTTTTTGTTTTTTGCATCTCTCTGTCTCTCTCTTTTGAAGAGTTTTAGGTGACTTGCTGGCTGTCAGAAACTCTGAGCCCATGTTTCTGTGTGATGCACACTGCCTCCCAAAAGTGAAAGTGTGAGAAATACTGTAAGCATCGGACAGTCATTTATTTAGTAGATTTATATCCCACTTTTCACTCAGATGATATTCCTAGTCCTATATGCCTCACAACAATCACCCTGTGAGTAAATTGACCTAAGAGAGAAAGACTGGCTTAAATTCTCTTCCCACCCACCCATCCCCCAGCTAAGAATCTAAATCTTCCTTTCCTAGATGGAGACCTTCACTGATATGTTAGCCTTTAAGGCTTTTCAGCACTCTGTCTCCTTACTCTTCTTCAACAGCTAGATATTTTTATTAATACCTTGAAGCCCAAGGTATCTATTTTGCCTCTGAGGAATAATGAGAGAGAGATTTCAATTGCCCAAAATCCATTTAAAACAACAGCTTTGCACTAAAGCTTACACCCTCCCCCCCCCACACACACACAAACAGTAGAAAAGAATAATGAAATGCCGGCTTTAGGATTTTTATGTGGTTTTCCTCCCAGGGGAAACAAGCATTTGAGGGGGGGAAAAAACTGCTTAAATTAAATACTCTTAAATTTGTTGCCTTCTACTTTTGTCCTGCAGCTTTCCCGTCTTCAGATTAAGTGGAGAGAAAGGCCTCTTCCAGAGTTGAAAGGATAAACCAGACCTTGCAAGAGTAAGCAAAGAATTTATATAGCCGTTTGTAGTCTATCATTCTGAGTGGCTTAAAAACTGCCACTCCTCTAGCCCCAAAACCATTTGTTTTCTTTGTTTTCTTTACTACATTTATATTGTGCCCTTTTTATATATATAAAAATCTCAGGGTAGTCATAAAAGTGTACATGCCAACTTGTGTCTCTGTGTCTAAAATAAATTTTGAGCAGATACATCTGCAGCACTTTCTCATTAAAAAAATTAAAACAAGGTTTAGTTTTATCAGTTGGGGAATTTAAATGCCACCTTGAGGCTGCAGAGAGGCCTACTAGGCCCAAAACGGGGCACGGGGGGGGGGGGGTGGGGGGGGCCCCCCCCCCCCCCCACGGCCCATTTTTGCTCCCAGGGGGCTGCAGGAGGCCAAATGCTGCCTGTCACATCCCCTGGGTTTGCCCACCATGGCCATGCCTACCATAGCCACACCCACCCAGCCTGTCATTAGGGCAGAGAACCAATTGTTAAATTGTTTGAATCCCACCACTGCTCCCATCTCATTGGGACTAGTGTGCCAGCAGAGGAGGCATGCTGCGGACATTGTCAGTCAGGGAATTTCAGCTGGCGGGGTCATAGTTTTCATAGAATAATACAATTGGAAGGGACCTTGGAGGTCTTCTAGTCCAGTCCCCTGCTCAAGCAGGAGACCCTATATCGTGTCAGACAAATGGCTGCCCAGTCTCTTCTTAAAAGCCTCCAGTGATGCGGCATCCACAACTTCTGAAGACAAGCTGTTCCACCAGTTAATTGTTCTTGTCAGATGTAAATGCCTTATTCTCCAATGTGTAAATAATGTATATATGGAACATCAGAGGTTAACTTATTCTTTGGACTTTAATGTATTCATAACTTACCACTCCCATTCCTAGCTCCACCCCTTGTATATATAAGGAGCCACCCTCACCATTCTCGTCGCTTCTACCTTGAATATTCAGTGAATATAGAATGCCTATCATAATTAAAAAGAAATATATTTAAAGCTCTAACTCCTATTATCTTTATTGAGTCTGATCCTGAAAATATTGCAACAGTTCTCACTTGTTAGGAAATTTCCCCTTAGTTCTTCTTTCCTTGATTAGTTCCATCCATTGCTTCTTGTCTTGGTGCCTTGGAAAATAAATTGACCCCTTCATCTTTGTGGTAGCCCCTCAAATACTGGAATATTGCTATC